TAACCAGTATTTTTGCCCCTTCCCAAAATTACTTCAACGGAAGGTTTCCAGATGGATATGCGGAGCAAATCCATCTGGCGGAGTCAGGTTAGTAATTAGGGACATCCGCTTTTCTTCAACAAATGGCAAGGAGAAAGCTGAAGACTGCTGAGTGGGTTGGAGATTTGTAAACTCCACAGTCTCTTCCTATTCTCCTTGCGAGTAACTAAATTAATTGTCTCTGTGCCTTCTTGTGATCAATGTGTTCGGTTCTACCCAGATATACCGATATAGATATATACCCAGTTCATAAACAGCCGTCTTAGAATTATACAATTTAAATGGCTAATGCGTATTTATGTTACACCTGTGCATTTAAATAAATACAACAATAAGATCCTATATTTGTGTAAAATGTCATTCTAAATGGACTCTTATCCACAGAGAAGCTGTGTTTTTCTTTTTTGTTTTCCTTTTTATTTCCTTGTTTGTTTGGGGGGGTTTTTCTCTCTAAGTTGAGTAAAAATAATTACTGTCTTGTTATAACTACAAAGAGAACTTGTTCAGATAATATGTTTGTATTTCCTAAATAAAAAATATATTGTTTAAAAAAAAAAATGAATGGACCTGGAGAAAAGTCCAAAGTTGAACAGGTGTCGGAGCAGTGGTATTGTCTGAGACTATAAGGCATCAATGGTGCAGAGTCTTGAGTTCTAGTCCCACTGCTCCCCAAGGGGATGGGTCAAATGCAGAGATTTATTTTGGTTGCTTTGTTCTTGTAACTTTGTAATGACAATAAAATGCTAAAGAAAAAAAACTAGAGGTGTCGGCATTGTGCTGAACTTCAGACATTAAATATATTCTTGTTTCTTTTTTCATTATGAAAGCTCTTGAAATCCTTAAATACTCTGTATGATTCATATGATGAAATGTTGTAAAAAATTATTTAAAAAAAAGAATAAAATATTTCAAACTTTCACTAGTCCACTATTGAGTTGTGCTGTTTTCAGAAAACGCTAAACGGCCCCTGAGGGCACCTGGTATACAGGATGTCATCTTCTCTGACTATAGATGTAAATTAAGTGATTAAAGCATAATCTACTACATCGTTAGCCTGTAATATATTTTCAGGGACCTCAGACATAGATGACATAGATATTATAAATTGTTGCCTCTATCAATGGATGGATAGATGGGTAAAATGTTTGAGTTGTATCTTTTCGTCAATATAGCAGAAAAATATTTCAGCAAACGACACATGACAGATATATATACATGTCTGTTATGTATGTATATATATATATAGAGAGAGAGAGACTTCAATATAACACGCTATCGAGGGGTGATGCTGAGAAACTAGTCCATGCATTTGTTACTTCAAGGCTGGACTGTTGTAATTCTTTACAATCAGGAAGTCCACAAACTGTAGTTAAAAGCCTTCAGCTGATCCAAAATGCTGCAGCCAGAGTTCTGATGAAAATGAAAAAGAGAGATCATATCTCTCCTATCCTGGCTTCTCTTCATTGGCTTCCTGTTAAATCCAGAATAGAATTTAAAATCCTCCTTCTCACATATAAAGCCTTAAATGGCCAAGCTCCATCTGATATCAGAGATCTGATTGTTCCTTATGTTCCTAACAGAGCACTTCGCTCTCAATCTGCAGGTTTACTAGTGGTTCCTAGAATTTCTAAAAGTAGAATGGGAGGCAGATCTTTTAGTTATCAGGCTCCTCTCCTGTGGAACCAACTATAATATACATATGTACATAACTTAACTAAAAATGAACAATGATTGAGAAATGCGTTAAATTATGAAGAGGCTGAAACTGATTAACTTAGCTGGCTCCAGGGGTTCTGGTTCCAGTTGGTTCCAACTGAAGAGAGGGTTAGCTCACAATGTAGCGTCTAGCATGAGGTAGCTGGAGCTACATTGCTAGCTGGTTCACTGTAGCAGTTAGCTTCAGCAACATGTGACTTGCTCAGTCTGTGCAGTGAGCGTTAGCATTCAGCTAAAATCTTAAAACCATTGGCAGTTGAATCAGAAAGCTTATTTCAAATAAAAACACCAACACAGCTATCTATTCTACCTGTAGTTCACCCGAGCAGAGCGCTTATTAAGCATCAGGAGAGGGAAGGCTGCAGTTACTGTTTTGATTCAGTGGAGTGAAGACCTTCAGCTCGGTCCGGTTCTCTGCAGTCCCGTCTTCAATCCAGTCCGTTCGTCCAACAGCAACTCAAAGAAATTTGGTTGCTATGTAGCGTAGCCTTCAGCTGGAAACACTTTTTTTTAGCCTTTAGCGACAAAGAGCCACAGGCAAAATAGGAGTTTGATATGAGAAGCTGGCCCTTTTAACACCAGAAATCATAGAGATACGAGAATATTCGTCAGCCTCCAGTCCCCCCAACAGTACTTCACAACTCATGAATCCCTTTTCAGATGTAAATGCCCCATTAGCGCTGTGGCTGGACAACCATTCCACCCCCTTCAGTTTCAGTTTCAACTCAAGTCTCTCTCTTTGAGTGTTTTACCTGAGAGCGGGGGGGGAATCATGTTTGTAATTAAATATAACTAGGTCTACGTCAACCGGAATGATTTAAATCAGCGTAGCCACCAGCGCAGTGATCAGACGATAACTGATTTGTACGATGAAAATAGCTGCATGAGCTAGAACGCTGTAGAAAGCAAGAATATTTATACAATATTCGCTGCTCGGGCCTAATAATGATAAATAAAAATAACTGAATAAAAGTAAAAATAGTGATTAAGTAAAGCTACACAAAGAAGCATGAAAAGGGATTACATAAATACTTTGAATTAAGAGCATAAAGTTTGAACAGTATTGTAATGATGCCAGTAACGCCGAGGTAGAGCACACAACCGGTAGCTTCTCAGTTAGCCTCGCTCAACCCGCTTAACACCTCCAATCCTGGAACCACTGCTCTCCCAGCCCCCCACCCCCACGTGATATAACAGGCCTATCACAGGAGAGCAGGAGTTAGCAAAGGACACACATAAAAGAACCCAATAGAACCAAACAAAGATTCATTACAGTATTTTGTTATTGGAAGAGGACGAAAAATAAGTTGTTGCTTCCTTTAAAAAAGAGATACATGAGTGTTTAATCATAATATTTTTACACTTGTAGATATAAAACTTTTTATATTTTGTGATTCCAAATAAAACATCCTTAAAATAAAGTTCAAATTTGTCATAAATAATGTCCGAGACGGATCAGGTAGTGACAGGTACAGAGCAGATAATGCAGGACAGGAAGTCGTGCGCAGAAACAAAATAAAACATGCGATTAATTTAGATAATATTAATTTTCTGTGGTAAGTTGCCCTTAATTCAAGAGTCACCATAATGATCCATCAAAAAGAATACCCCATTTTTATTTACAACTGTTGTAACGTTGTAGACTCCTATATCCATTTTATATATAATTACTTAAGAGCACATATTTTATGTTGTTTATTTAATATTTATACATCAACTTATTTTTACTTTTTATTTTTACTGTTTCATACTTTAACACTGGGCTGCTCTGGAACCTGCAAAACTAACATTTCATGTTAATGTTATGAAGTAACGACTAAGAATTAATGTTTTTTTTATCTCTATCATTTTCATATTTGATATGTTAATATTCTTCGCTAAAAAGAGGACATGATAGGAAGGAAAAGGCCGAGTCAAACCGAGCTCCTCTTTGAGCCGAGCAGCAGGAGGAGCAGTGAGGAGAGTGATAGAGGAGGAGCAGGAACCCTATTATAAAAGGAAGATTTGTGTGTCTGTATAACAATCTGCAAATTTGTAAAATCCGGTTTGCAAATGTGTAAAAAAAATCCACAAATGTGTATCAAGATCTGCAAATGTGCACTAAGATTTGCTACAAATGTATATAATAATACAATTATGTAATGTATATAAATGTATATATAAAATAATGTACATAGACAGGTATGGGGCATTGCAGGAAAACAAAAGAAGCCAAAGGACCCCCATTCCAAAGGGGGGGACCCGTTCGTCTGTTTTCTAAACAAAAACCAGGGCTTGTTCGGTTACTGTATAATACGGAAGAGGATCAGGGCCACTAAAAAAATTTCAAAAAGTTAACTGATTTTTAAATTTTGTTTAAGTATAATATGGGAGACATTTTTTTTATTCCCATATTATACTAAAATAAAATGTAAAAATCTGTGAACTTTTTTTTTTTTTTCAGTTGCCCTAATCCTTTTCCGTACTACAATATCTTCCTTCTTGGTCAGAATTCTGAGATTAAAGTCAATATTCTGAAAAAAGGCAGTATTCTGAGATTGAAGTCAGAATTCTGAGAAAAAAACTCAGAATTTTACCTTTTTCCCATATAAATAATGAAATAAAATTTCACAATCAGTTAACTTTTTTATTTTGTCAGTGGCCCTAATCCTCAGGGGATTGATTTTTTTACTTTTTGGAATGTCTCCAGCAAAGCACATTCAAATGAAAATAACTGTTAATTAAAAACACGTATAATTTATTGAACAGTACGCCATAAAAACAGCTTCTTCCCCTCTGCCATAAGACTCATGAACACTATATGTCAGACTCCATAACCTGCCCATGCCATTCACAGTGCTGTTTTGCACACTGCTCTATTTGCACTACCTTGTACATTTTACTTTTTATATATTTTTTTTTATTTATCAATATTTTTATCCTAAGTGTATATATTAATATATTTTTTGCATGCCTTATACCCCAGTGTTTTTAGAGATTTTTATAATTTTATTTACCTATTCCATATTATATGTTTCATGTTGCACGATTGTACCATAAAAAATTCCTAGTTGTGAACTCCTTCACTAACAATGGCAATAAACCCGATTCTGATTCTGATAATTTCATATTTAAAGTTCTTTCAGAAGTTTGTTTTCTGAATATGACTGAACTTTTCCTTTAAAAACATGTGGGCTCCAGTCAGATCCCTGGATTGAGGTCAGTGAGTAAACAGAACCAAACCTCTGGGCTCCGATTCTTCACTTTAGTCCAGATTTGGACTACCATGATCTGATCGGGCAAAAGACGTCAATTCACCATCAGTTAACATCAATCCTTTAACATCAATTTAATTTACGTCAAAAATAGATTTTATTCAAAAAAAGAGAGTGATATGTGCATATGTATTTATGTATACATGGTTACATGTTTTTGTGTATATAGTAATAAAAATATATAAAAATTTATGAATGGCTTTTCTACGACGGAGTACTAAGGCTAGGCTAGAGATTTATTTTGCTTCTATTTCAAGAAGAAATTATGAAAGTCCTAAAATTACGAGAATAAAGTTGTATTTTATGCTAACTCTTCCCAGAATCCCTTTCTTCCCTAAAATGAGGAATGTGGAGCATCATGTGAAGTTCTACTTTAGCATCGATTTGATAAATCAGGAAATCTTTTAGCAGCAGCATCAAACTGGGCAGGATGTCAAAGTGGACTCTGGTTGCTGATTGGTGGAGCTGGTCTGATGTCATCTGCTGGGCGGAGCTCTAAGCTTTCTTTCTGACACAGGTTGTTGAATGATGACTTTATTCTTGTAATTTTACAACTTTCTTCTTGAAATAGAAGCAAAAAGGAATCTCTAGCCTGGCCCTAATACTCTGTCGCACTTTGCAACATGCATCCATCCTATCAGAATACAGGGCTATCATCTCAGGGAGTGAGACTCGCGTATCTCAGTGTCTTCACACGCTCTCACTCATTATCTCCATTTTTTCACGCAATAAAAAGACGGACATTAAAACTCAACAGTCTGCTTTTTCAACACAAATAACACAGAAGGGAATGTCAGGTTCAAATCCAGTCCGTATATTTGCACCAACCCACCTATTCACTGTTCTGAGAGCACAGATATTGAAAAAATATTTCCTGGCATTTATTACAAGTACTTTGCTTCAATTCATTTATTGAAGCAAAGTACTTGAATAAATATGAATAAACTTAACAGCAGCTGGCTTAAATAATCAATGTGGAGAGAGAGTAGGATCACATCAACTGGTTTGTTTTCTCTACATCTAGAGCTGTGTTTTTTTTTTTATTTATTTATTTTTTTTATCAAACTTTAATCCTTGTTTGCTCTAATTTAACCTCCTGTTTTAGTCCATGTTTTGCTCAAAAGTAAAATAATTATGGCTCAGTCTAGTTGAATAATCTCCTGTTGGATTTTAGGACTAATTAAACCAACTCAAATCTCTAAAGCTTTCAGGTTTGCCTCTCAAACCCATAGAAGATCCACAACAGAAAAGAACCGTTGCATTTTATTTTTCAAAAGATCATCCACCCAAGAAAAGACCAACCACATTCAAAGAGGATGTGCAGAATAACTCGGTTATCCTGGATCCATAGAGGAGGAACCAGAGGGATGTATTTAGGTCCATTAAATATATTTAAAAACTTAATTTATATCACATCTACCAAAATTAAACATCCACAGAAATGCTTTCTCCTGTCATGGTGAGTTTTTATAGACTCTACAGCCTCTTAGAAGGTCTAAATTGTCAACTGTAAAAATGTAATAAGATATAAGTTAAGATTTTTAATCCTTAGCCTATTACCAAATATTCATACACAGTGTAGTTTGCACTGGTTCCTGTATCAGTGCCAGTAATCCAGTAATAACTCATTAGTTTTGCATTGTTTATTTTACTTGAGCTGCATAGAATTATACATAAACACAGTTTAGAAATTCTTAGTTTACAATAGATGCAGGTATTTTAGTAGGGCCCATATTTTTAGTTCAATTCTCTAAAAATCAACAGAATATAGAAAATAATAATGTCTTATTTTTATTCAGTAACATTTACTGCACTTTTTAAAAAATTCCACATTTCACTGCTTTGTTTCAGTTAAATCCTCTGAAAGCCTCACACCTTTAGCTGCTCCTGTCCTCATCTCACCCTGACAGGGTTTCCTGTCCTAACTATTTCAAAATCTCCCCCCAAGGTTTGATGAAAAGTTGGCAGCCCTGAGATTATTCCATTACTCTTAACCCCACTAAAAATATTTAAATACACTTAAACATTTGTTTGTTTTCAGCAACAACAAAAAAAAAAAAACAAAAAAAAACAACAACAAACAAACAAAAAAAACAACAGTGAACATTTCTTCAATATTCAGTTTAAGATTATTAAAACTGATTGTCTTCCTGCTCAACACGTCACTGTCGACCGCCCCAAGATGGCGCCACCAAATAACGTCAGCGCCCAAAGAAAGAAGCTATTTCTCTTGTCCTGCTGTTGTTTGTTGCTTTAATTTCAAACCAACTGTAACATTCACGTTTAAAAAGCGGGATAAAGTGTTTATATCACTGCTGTTACATTAAAAACTGAACTATTAGCCGCTTTTATCGCTGATCTCGCTGCTAGGTTTGAAACAACGCGAGATTTGTGAGGTATCGTGAGATCTGGCAGGCTTTTGCGGCAGTCTGTGACGCCGCTGATCCCGTCCGTGGGTTTGTTTGTGTGGATTTCCTCCATGATGTCCAGCTGTCCTCCTCAGGTCTAACAGGAAACCAAGCGGAAGCAGCGAAACATGGAGGCTGCGGAAGGTAAGGCCCGTTGTTATGGCAACGCGCTATAACCAGCGCGGGGTTTTTACGATGTCCTCCGTGGGCACAGGTGTCAGCGCTCCCACTCCCACGGAGGAGATGAACGGCGCCGGGACGCTCATGGACTTCCTGGACGAACCCTTCCCGGACGTGGGGACCTACGAGGACTTCCACACCATCGACTGGCTGAGGGAGAAGTCCAGGGACACGGACCGGCACAGGAAGGTCCGCGGGCCGGGGGGTGGGGGGGTGCGTGGGGGCTGCTGCGTGGAGTCCAGCTAACCGTGTGTGTCTAACCTGCAGATCACCAGTAAGAGCAGAGAGTCCCTGTGGGAGCTGATCAAGAGCCTCCTGGACGCCTGGTCCGGATGGGTGGTGATGCTGCTCATCGGCCTCCTGTCTGGTAGGGGTTACCATGGTTACCGCTCATCCCATCCCACCACATCAGGACCGGCCCAGAGACCGGAAACCAGAGCAGCCATCTTTGTTAATGTGTCAGAGGTTCTGTGGTCCACCTGGACCGCTGTGGCAGGGGTGGTTCTAGACAGGAGCCAGCGGGGGCCGGGGCCCCTGTAGATCATGTCCTGGCCCCTGATATGGCCCCTGTTCCGGCCCCTGATATGGCCCCTGTACTAAAGACATAATACTCAAAGAAATGCTAATGATGATCTGACACAGTTACTGATTGGTCCGTCTGTTTTACTAATTATTTTAAAACAATAAGGTGATAGCTTCAGTCGGATATTTTTTTCAAAACAAATAAAAAATAAATTCTAATTTTTACAGCTGAAGTGAACAGATTTTAAATTCTATTCAGTTTATTTCTATAGCTCCAATTCACATCATGTCATCTCAGGTCACTGTATAGATCCAGATCATCCAGATCATCCAGTCAGATTGATTCAAAGTTTTCTATCTAAGGAAAACCAGCTGATTGCATCGACTCATTGACTCTTCAG